CAAGTCTCTCCCAAAACAGAAACCCTGTCCTCCAGCTTTGACTGGCAGTTTCTTCTGGAATGTGCAGTGGTGGCAACTCCCCTTCTTAACAGGGAAAACCTAAGCAAGTTGAGAAAATAGCTGTCTCGTTTGCTGCTAGGGACCAGCTCTTATTCCTCCCGTTTCCTTCTCGGTTTCAGTTAATTAGCATGACACCACCACAATTAGATGGTGCATGAGCAGAGAACTAACACTTAATCAAAGGCTAGGGATGCTGTTATGTCATTTTCACACATGAATTGTGTAATGTTAGAAGACAAAAGCCAAGGTGAGTTAGGCCTGACAAATGACTTGGATGCAGGGCCAGTCATTTTATCAATATTTCAAAGCCTAGGAAAGAGAAGCATTTTCTATGAGCAGGTGTGTATACGTAGAGAAAGAGTAGGATGGATTAAGATGAGGAATAGGGGAATGTGTCCACAGAAAGCTTTAATTTGAGGACATACTGAAAAGCAGGGGTCTGATCATGTGAGGGTACTCTGCTTCCAAATGAGAAAGGAAACAAGTTTATTTTATGAGTAACAGTTAAATGCTCAAGCAGGCAATTAAGGTGCTTTACTGAGGCCATTTTGGGACACCAAACACTTTGAAGATTATATATTCCCTCATATTTCATGTTCAATGTTCCTCTAAGTAAAATATGTGGCTCCCTTTAGTTACTCAGTTATGAATTGTACTTTAAAGGCAAGGGGACATTTTTGATAATGCACATCTTAAACTTTTCATTAAACTACCAAATTTAAATTCTACCTTTTTGTGCACTCTGACATTTTTGTCTGGCATTTTCATTAATTTTGCGACATACATAAATGTAGCTGAAATGTTAACTGATCAATACTTTGTCTCTCTCATGTAGCACTAGAGCGAAGCTCCCCAAGGACCACGCAGCAGTACAGAAATTAAATGTGTAAAATATCAAATGTTAATGTTAAACACAGCAGCACTTACTGTATAACGACTGAAAAGGCTAAAAGAATTCCAAATGGACAGATGGTAGCACAAATTATCTACAATCACATTTAAAGATTAAAGTTTGTCCCGTAAAATAATTCATTGACTCACGCTGAAGTGTGTCCTTTTACTGATAGCTCAGTTGTCCAATTATTTTTGTGCTCATTACAGTGAGAAATGACAGTATTGGAAAAAAAAAGAGTGTACACTTTTTTCCCCCTACGTTGCACCCACTGACATCTGCAAGAACACAAATGTCTGGTCAAGAAGCTGATGGAAATTAGGCCCAATTTAGCAGACATTTCAGTGCCCAGAGTAGATTAAAGGGAAATTATCCACTTTTGCATATGCTAATAAAGTTCTTCTGCCTGAAACGTACCGTATTAATTATTTTTTTAAAAAAAATTATTAAAATTAATTGCTAAATAATACAAAGGTCTGTTTTGAAAACAGAAAATCGTGTGTTTTTTACAGCAAAGGCTCTCTCTATGTATTCCATTATTTTCCATTGCATTTTGGTGCTTAAGAAGCATAAACACAAGCATGTAACACATTCTTGATCGGCCTCTAGACATAACAGGGCTATATGTCATATAATAAAGCTCTTCTGGAACTGAATTTAACACTCTTGCTATACACTTTAACTGCTAGTAAATATGGAAAAGGAGGAGAGACGATCAAATCTTCTGCTGGTTCAAATCCAAAGTCATATTCTAGCCAGATTAATTTATGTTTCATGAGTGACTTACAAACACCTTTGAATATCTGAAAAATAACAGCTAATAATACATCATGGTTATATTAGAAAAAAAATATAAAAACTTATGTGTGGGTAGCAATTACTCTTCTGCTGTGAATTACTGAGACGCAGGAAAAAGAATTGAGTCAAAACCTTAAGTCATTCAGATAAAATCCCTGGGGAAGGCGATGAAGTTTGAGAGAAACGAGTAAAATATTGTTACGAAAACACATAATCCAGAACATCAAAGGTGTAACTTCTGGGTTTCTGCACTTCTAGGCACAGCACGGGCACTACCAGTCATTGAGATGCTGCCTTTGGATACATTGGAAAAAAAAATACCCTAAACCTTTAGTAAAGCATTTCCTTTCTTAAAATGTCCCAAATAATGTAAAAGTTTGGGGCAGCTAAGTTCTGGAGTATAAGTAATCAGCAAGCCCCTGCAATGAACACTTCTAGTCTTGATGACTGACATCATGTCTCTTTAGGAGAATGACTTTAAAAGTCTCTGCAGAGAGCACTTCAGCATGTGTAGAGCATAACACAGGTCACTGTAGCTTACTAGAGTCACCACGCTGACCAAAGCTTTCTCTGGGTCTCCCAGAGTATCCCTCCTTTCCAGTTCTCTTGCTGATTACCAGTAAATTACTACATTTCTGAAAAATCAGCTAGTCTGTCAGCATTTCTGCACGAGTGGTTCTCCACAACAGTGGCCCCATCAGGGAGTAACGTGTCACACGGGGTGAGGTGTGACACAAGGGTACCTCTAACTGCAATGCCAAGATCTTGGGGCAATGGAAGACCTGGAAAATCCACCTGCACACAGGTAACAGGTGTGAAGTGGCTGTAAATCTGAACCAGGATGTCATCCACCAAGGGACACCTCCAAATCCAACAGGACAGAAGGAATGGTTAGTTTAAAAGTTTACTTCTCCTACATTATTTATTAGTCTGCCTACAGAGCTGGAAAGCTCCAGAACAGCCTATTTCTCATCTCCTTTCTGGCACTGACATTTCACTGTGACATTCTCCAACCTCTGGGAGACAACTTCAAGAGGAGATACGATTTGTATAATAGTGAAGAGATGAAAATGATACATATAAGTACAGCTTTTTTTTATAGAATCTATTAAATTCCAGTGTAACCTTTGTGCAAGCATAATTCAGCATTACATGTGCAAGTGAACTACTCTCAGATTTTCAAGGGCCTGTGATAACGATGAAACTTCAGAAACCATCTTAGTCCAAAGCTTACAATCACAATAGAATTTCATGCAGATTTGACCAGGCTAACAAAAGCTTATCAGTGTTTTGCCCAGGGAGGGGATGGACAGAATAACATCATGCTGAAAAGCTCAGGTTGCACTTTGGATGCAGAGCAGGAGCACATCTGTGAAGCCACAGCACTGATGGAGACATAACGAGCCCATAACTACCACAACCACCACCCAGCAAAAGAAACACTGAAAGGAAACCCAGAGAAGCAGGCTTCTGGGACACAGATATATGTGTGAATACAGCTATCTATATAAAAAAACAGGAACACGATTCTACTGCAATACACTCTAACTACCATATAACAACATACACTCACTACACACCTCCCTGCTCAAATTTTGTGTTGTGTGTGTTTCCAATGACTTATTATGACATTGAATTTCTTCTGTGACTGGAAACAATTACAGTTCCACAGCAACACAACTTCTTCCATGGCCACAGCAGCACACCATGAGAAAGAAATAATTTCATTTGCCCTAAAGAATAAGATATCTTTACATTTGGGATGGGTGCTTCACATCTGTATTCAAATCAGACTGGGACAGGTGAGTATTTACTAACTGGAGCAGTAACAGCAACAGGAATGTTTGACTTTTATGTAAAAACGTGTGTTCTCCTGTGAAGTTTTGATCATTTAAAACTGAAATTAGACCATTTTTCTAAATTAGCAACCAGGCTTATATTTTAGCACAGAGTGCAGTTACTACAGATGTTAGTAAAAGTGTAAAAACCCTGAGAGTCTGGACACCACACCTATCTCCTGTACTCTTGATGAACATTGCACCCAAGGAACCACAGCTTGCTGCCAACCTCTGACAGGCTGCAGCAGGGTTTAACAAGCCACTCAGTGCAAACTGTGCCCTGCTAGAAGAAACTTCCTGCAAAATGGTGTGATTTAGTGACACAACAAAGTACCATGTTTTACCACTCCACTGCAGCCAGACCAAATACCTGGTTTCATGTCTCCAAATCTGAGCCACCTGAGCTGCAGGCACCTATGCTGGGAGTACTGTCTCCCTCTGTAATTATTCAAAAAAAAAGACTGAAGACACTCCCTGTTCATATTCATGATGGAGAGGCTCCTACCTTCAGTATTTCACCCAACTTAATAAATTTAGATGTTCAGAACATGTGTCCTTGCATACATTTTTTACTCCTAGTGGGACTCCCTGAGGCAAGAAACAAACAGGGACTCTGGTCTTGCTCATGAGGTTTTCAAAATAAAAAGAGATTCATCTGGGAAATGCAATACATTCTACAGTTGTGTTGGAATTTTCAAAATCTAACAGGAAAACAGAAGTTAATATTAATGAAGCTAATGTTTATAGAGCAACAGCAGCTTCATTTAAACCACTAAAAAATGAATTCCCTGAAAACTCAATTAGGCCCAAAGACTGATGTCTAAAAGGTACTAGTTTGCTTGAATTAATGACTTTGAAATTGATCTTGTTAATTTGTTTTGCTTTGTTTTTTTTTTTTTAAACCAGAACCACTAAATCTTAGTAAGGAAGCAACTCTTTGGGCCCAGAGCTTTATAGTACTAAAAAAGTTACAGGCGTAACACCTATTGATATGCAGAGGGCAAAATAACTCTGATTTTCTATTAATATTTAAAGCACACATGAAATATTCAGACCAAGGTTTAGAGTAAATACTCAATCTACAAGGGGACCAAACAAAATTTAACATAAGTAATGTGTGAGAAGCTCAAGGTAGATCCATAATTTGCTGACTGTATTTTATCCCTTGCTTTTGTTATTTGTACAATTAGAAATTAGCAGACCCCCTCCCAAATTTCTGTCTTGTTTGTGTGACATTTAAAATTGAATTACTTTTTTTAAAAAAAAGAATAAATATGATTTGCAGTGTCTTCATAATGCAACGTTTTAGATGCAAAAAAGAATCAGAATTCCCCACATCAACACTGTGTTATCACTCAGTCTAGAACACAAATACACTGAGGTGATTAACAACAATATAAAGTAGCTCATACCATAAAAGCAGCAAGACTTCTTGGAGGAGAATCCCAGTCAAAGCAACTGCTAATGTAGTAGGCAGCATTTATGAGCACCATGATGCAACGCTTCATCCGGATAAAGTTTCTCAACAGGAGCTGTTAGAAAGACAACAGAATGAAAAACGTTCCAAAATCCCAAAAACTACAGAAGAGGCTCATGTGTACAACATTGTCATTGTTAATTCCTGTGAAGACTGGGAAATTAACGTCTTCAGCTCTCTAGCTCACAAATTGAGAAAGGTAAGTTTAAAATTTGAGAGACTAGGAAGAGTGTTTGTTGGTTGTGTCAAGAGATATTTGTCAAGTTTGATTCCCAACGGTACCCAAATTGTTATTCAATTTTAAAAAGCCATTTGCAAAATGTCATGAATCGTTTTGTTATTAGGATTTCAGAATTTTATAAAGTAGGCAAGACCTTTCCCATTCTCCAGTACTTAACTAATTTTGGCCTTCCTTAACAAAAAGATGCACAGGACATTAACCTGAAACGATACAAAATCACTGCTCTGATCTAGTCAATATCACCCACACCCTTTAGGTCCAATTTTTCCTTCATTTATAACAGATTTGTCTCCTGTGATGTATTTCGACCACACATTTTAAAGTATTTATCAAAGTAACTTTAACTGCTTACATTCAGTCTATACAGAGATGAGACATAACAGCGCTGAGTTTTTACCCAGGTGAACTCTTAAATCCTCTAACATGGCAACACATTTGACCAAAAAAATTGAACAAACCAGTGACTGACTGAATCTGTGTATCAAGAGGCACAGAAAATGCTTGGTAGGCAAGACATTCACTCATGCAAAATGTTCTAAAATGCAACTGCATCAGTCACACACAAAGATTTCTCTTTTTCTCCTGCCCTAAGTGGTATTCTGGGGAGGCATCCCATGCATGCCAATTAATAAAATGAACAATGCAAACTGGGTATTTAAAGTTCACTCCCCCTTTTCTGCCATTTTCTGTTATGATAGGGGGGAGAAGAATGAATCTTGAATCAAAGGCCTTGCTGCTTCTCCACTGGAATAGCAGTGCAAGACGCAGCTGTAGGGACTGCATTATGTGCAACAGTTAAGAAATAAATATTTTTTGTGCCTTGAAACCTTTTTTTAATGAAATATACTATACAACTGATAAAAAATTTATCCAGCAGATAATTTAAATTATGCTCAAATCTATAAGCTTTCAAAATAAAAGACAGTTTTGATGTCTTTTCACTGCAAACATCAAACACGTTGTTCCCATGGTCCGGCCCAAAGCCCACGTCTCTCCCACTTCCATCATTTGTGGAACAGGAAAAACTGAATCAAAAGCAGTTCAAGTGGAGAAAAAGGTAAGATGTTAGTTTATTTGTTTTTTACCAAAGCTTTAAAACTATGAGTAGCAAAAATATCCAGGAAAAAAAAAAAAAAAAAAGATGAAGGGGTCCAGATGTTTCCTACCCACAGGGCTCTCAACTGTGACACAGGGATTTAGTCTGCCTCCAGCTTTGATTCAAACTTCACTCAACTAACTTATTTAGAAATTGGCTAGAAGAATGCTGAAAGTCTCTCCACCCTGCAACAAATGGAGAGCTTTCAGGTCAAGGTTAACAGCAAAAATTTATGCAAGACTTAGTTTACATGCACCTGTGCTATAATCTGATACGTGTGGAACCTGATGTTTTCAACTGTGTTCTTATTCACGTATTTCATGGAAATTAAGCTGCAATTTATAGAGGAGACACAATAAACCCATGTATTTTGTTTCTGACTCTTCCGACCGATCATATTCTTTTGTAACCAGGTAATGAAAATGTTATTCTTTACCCTCAGCAGTATGATACCAGATATTTGGACCTGCACACCTGATATTAAGGCTTTCGGAAAGGATTAGTGTTTCCTTACTCTTTACCTGTTTGGACAGCCTGTTTTCCTCTTCAATGTACTTCTCTTCTTTGGGCATTAAGGTTCGTATGCTGGCTTTCACCTGTGCATTAAAACACGTGTCAATATTTCAAGCTTACTTGCTCCTTACTAATAACACACAGACACAGACACAGACACTTCAATTTGCAAAAATTACGAAGTTTCAGAGGCATGGCTGCCAAGCTGTGACACACAAACAGCACACACAGAGCCCTGAGCTGCTGCTCCTTGCACTAGCAGCAACAGCAGCAGCAGCAGCAACAAAAAGAGTGGGTGTGCCAGGCAGTGGCAGAAGAGTATTCTGTGGTATACATCAAGGTTTAGAGAAAATGGAGAATGACAGAAATTCTCTACAAATCAGGCACAAAAGCTTTCATGAAACTGAACTCTTTAGCAGTACAAAAAAGCCAAAGTTAAGACTTACAGCATTAAAAATCACATCTATTTCAAGATAGATGACCCCCTTTGTTGGCCCTGTCAGCTGCTTGTTTTTCAAGACGTAGGCTTTCTGTTCACCATTTTGAATCTGCAGGAAAAGGACATGACAGCCGTCTGTCTCGCGGTCTCCGCTGAATACACCCCCCCGGTGACCCCTGACCCCCAGCTGCTGAAACTGACAGAGAACCCAAAACAACTGTGGCAAGTCTGACAAGTACCTGTTCATTACCAGGACCGAGTCTGTCAGGAAAAATTAACTATCATGGGATTCAACATGGCCGTGAATTGAGTATGTTAAAATTTTAGTGTTCTTATTACAGACCTTGGTTGAGAAATGACAGACACAGAGCTGCAAATCTTGTTTTAAATTTTTTTTTTTTCCCCCTTTTTTCTTTTTTTTTTCACCCCCCTCCTCCCTTCAGCAGGGGAAATTCAGAGCGGGATGTCAGGTGGAGGAAACTCACAGACAGCAACGGTATAGCAACTTTGCCTAGAAAGTCAGCGCTCCGATCGCGGTCTTCGTCATAAACTGTCACTTCCAGCACCGAGTGGATGTCTTTGATATTGCTACAAAGGGAGAGGCAC